GGTTCGACCGCGTACTTCGGGAATGCGGTCGTTATAGTGATACTGCGACGGGACAAAGAGTGAAGATGTAATTGCCGCTCGGAATAGTTGAGGTTTCGTTTGGCCGTTATTTGCGATGACATGTTGCAATACAGATCCGGCGCCTATGTATAACCCCAGATTCAATGACGCAAATAACCAAGAAAATGTCTGCTCTTACCGGCAGACTCGCCCCATATTGTCACTCGTGAAGGGTCTCCTCCGAACTTGGAGATCTAGACAGAAAGGTTAGGGCTCCTGATGGAAACAGTTGCTTAGGATTATAACGTACATGCTTGTTGACCCATCGAAGAGCAAACTCCTGGTCGCCTGGTGTTCACCCCAAAGTCAGAACCGATGTGCTTATACCAAGGGAGTAGCCATACGTAGTCCCGCATTGAGTGTTCCGTTTTCCTTCACCGCCGCACCCGCAAGGAAGCCTGAAAATTCTGTTCAGCGAGGGTAAAAAACCTGACGGTCGGCTCACCGAAGAGACCCAGCCGGTATTGTATGATGACGACCACAACTCTGTTGTTGCTTTGGTTGATGAGTTCGCTTCCTCGGAACTGACTGGATGCGCCTGCGACGTATCTGCGGAGCTGGTTAGTAATTTTTTAGTGGCATACAATGTGTAGAACACACCCTCCACCATGAATATAAACGATAGTCGGGAGGAGGCCGGCTGCGACGCCTTCTGCGTCACTCGGATAGTATACACTGCTCTTCGATGTCAATAGAATACGGCCGAGCGGGTGGAAACCACACAGGCCTAAGGAATAGACAGTCCTCCGAGGTGGCGACCTCAACAGCACGCGTTCTCAGCGGATTCGTCGGCGCCGTTCCGAGCGCCCCTTGATAGCATTGGTTGGACTGGGCGGTGGCTTGCTGCACACCGGTAGCGTTGGGGGGAGGCTGGGGCGCTCTGAATCGCAACTCCCCTGCGCGTCGGTCAGAATTCCGCCGTCGCGAAGAAGATTTGCCTCGACGGACCTGTTGGCGCAGCGGCGTACCGGATGCCCAAGAATGTGGTTATGTTAGTCGACGTGTCGATGGTTCCCTGGTACCGCGCGTAGCCCAAATCGATGATGGGTGTGGCCGCAGCGTCAACGGCCGGCCCTGCGCCGAGGAGTAGCGCGCATATAGCTGTACTTCGGATAAGATTTTGCAGCAGCATTCTCAAGAGACCTTCGAGAGCCGAGGGTATGAGATGGATCACGGTGTTGGTGAGCCCCCTGTTTTATATGTGTGCGCCCAGCTGTTCCTATGACGGGACCGCGGTCGCGTAAGAATACCCGGGCGGACATTGTGCTGTCACTTTCCATTAGTCACGGTGCAGTCATTTGGAAAGTGAACTAGACACCAGTGTATAATTCCCAAGCTCCGCAGGGAAATAAATCGATCGGAATTTTGACAGAGACCGAATATTCGAGCTTTCTATCGAACTTTAAATTGTTATGCTTGACCCTTCCGTTACAATTCCCAGTCAAATCCTTCCGCTATTGGGGATCAATGAGCTCACTAACTCCCGTCGAGGCCCCGCCAAAATTAATCTGCACAGTGATGCAACCTCGTGGCCCGTGGGCGGCCCTAGGGCTGCACATCGTGCCGTCGCGGGCACGGCCGATGTTTCGACGAGAGTTGAACGGGCACATCTGTCCCGTCGCCCCGTCGTGAGGTTTCCTAAGGGAGGTTCACACGGTTCCATTTTCCCTTTTAGGCACTTCCGCTTTTCCGAGGACGGAGGTAGTCATAGGAGCTTACAGGGACCTCCATAGCTCGGGCACTGCCCGAGGCGTGCACATAGTTTCTAAATTTGTATTTTCCCGTCCATTTCGTATACAAAGCCCCGTAGTTTACGATCTACTTCAGTGACCGGCACCCCCGTGCAATACATCACACTGTAGTCCCCCGTTAGTCTTGGATCAGCGCATCGCTCCGCCGTGTATCGCCCACGCCCTCGTATCATTAGTCGCACCCTCGATCACTGTCCTTGCCCTGCAGATATTTGACCACCAGTCGTATTATAGATCACCGGGAGCCTGCGTACGTTGTTGGGCGCTGTGGAGTGTGGCCAGTGCGGCGGCTCGCGGAGATGCTAGAGGTACTGGGCCAGGTGGGCGGAAGCAAGGGTTCGACGCGCTTGAAGGGAATGCACGAGGAGGGCGGATGGGCGGGGGGAGGCAAGGGGGGAACGCAACGGAACTGGGCCTGCATGGCGGGGCGCGGCGACGAGAGTCAAGGCGCGGGGCAGAATCGCACGTGTCGTAGATGCGGAACGCACGCGGTGCGATGTGGCGTACACCGCGAGCGGAGAGCGAGGCAGCGATAAATTCCTCGGGCCTCAGCGGCGCGCGCCGGAAGGAGGTGCAAAGCTCACAGCAAATGCGCGGGGTTTGGGTCGCGCAGCGTGGACAACCATCAGGCAAATCTGGGCGGCATTCCTTATGGTCAGAAACTAGTCCGAGTTAGCTTGAGGTAAAATAAGAACACAGATAACACACCAGTCTGGTCGCTAGCAAAGTAAAGTTGGGCGGGGAGACGAAGCAGGGGCCGCCGCCCGCACAAGGGCAGCCAACCGCATCATTCTCCCATTCCTGCTGGTGGGGTTAGCACGCCCAAATAACATCAAGTACGCAACGAACAACATGAGACGTGCGATCGACCGTGCGGACGTGGCACGCGCGGGCATTGAAGTAGCGCCCGCACTTCGTGCTCGCCGCTGCACGACTCGCTGAAGGAAAGGAAAGCGCCGCCGCGGGTGCGTCACTGGCGACGCATGCTTGGTCAAGCCGGGACACGGGGCAGGTAGGTAGGTTCGGCCGCCAGGCCGGAAAAAAATAATATAGACCTCTCAGTCAAGAGGTCGGATACTGGTCAAAATGTGTTCAGAGCCATATATGAGAGTTCTCTACTTGTTCTGAACCTCAAATGAGTGTCACCGCTTCAAATCAAGTACAGGCAGTGTTGTACCAGGTCGGGCTCAGAGCAAGAGCAAGCCCTGTCAAACCTGAAATTGGACACATTCCAAGTCACTGAAGTCCTTGAGAAGTCTTCAATTACTTATTGATGATATAAAGGTCGAATGGAAGTTGAACGAGATGCTTTTGCAGGATGGTAGAACCTTGTGAGCGCAAATTGATGAACTTCTAGACCGGCCGACGAGGGAACATTACCCGATATGGGCGTCACGTGGTAGGTAGGTCCGCCGAGAAGGTCAAACCGAAAAAATACGGCCCAAGTGGGTTTTTTGACAGATCCAAATCCCCTTGTGCTTGATCCCCGCGAGGGAGCTCCGGAGCGGGCTCGGCTTGATCCGCAGACATTTTTGACGTGATGACGCCGGGTTGATTTGTCAGTTGTCTTCATTTATTCGATTCAAACAGTTCGAGCGGGCGTATTCGCGGCACGTCGCCGCTCTAAACTCCAAACCTGTAGCGTTGGAATAAACACCTACGAGACCATAATGCACTAGCCTGGGGAAGCTGCAACGCCGCCGACACGTACAAGTCGAATCTAGAGCCCAACTTGTTCTGGGACTGGTATTGGGGTAGTGTCTCTGGATGCGCTCTCGGGTGCCGCCAGGGAATCCAGCAATGTCGCGGTGCGTGGATGAAAGCAAAGGTGCAGATCTGCTCTAAACATGCGCAAACTGCTGACTAATCGGCCCGAATGCTGCCGGATCCATCTGTGCGCACTACCGCATCTGCCCCCCTCCTCAAGGCAACGTCCTCGTTGCCTATCGTGCTCCTAAAACCTGACCCAAAGAGACGCGTCCTGGCGTCGGCCCGTAGAACAGTGCCCAAATCCATGCGAGAATCCGCAATGCGAAAAAGTCTGCGTCCGACTTGTTGGTGGGGGAGGGCGCTGAGGGATTTTGCTTGAGCGGCGAAAATAGTCCCGTTTCGTACGTCGAATGAAATAGTGGTCGTCCGCGTTTTGGTCTCGCTCGAATACCGTGGTGTCGTGCATGTCGGCGATGTAATGTGTCGAATGGGTTCCTCGACCCCGAACGTAGGACTGAAAAATCCCGTGGCTGTTGTGGGGTAGCGAGGATGGCGTGAATGGGGAGAGAGTCCGCGTCGTCGGCCCAGCTGAACGCTCCCGGTGTACGCGCGTGGTCGAGGGGTGGTGGAAGTTGGGCAGGGGGAGCGGTCAAAGCTGCGATGTTTTGAGATTCATCGTGCGCTCGACACGTACCGTTGTTGAAGTGCCCGCCGTCCATCCACCGTCTTCCCTCCGTCTCCCGTCCGAGTTCTGCGCCCGCCGCTAGCCCTTCGATCCTGCCAGCCGCAAACGAGAGCTGAAACGCAGGCTGCGTCAAAGCCGCCTTCTCACCGGCTTTCTGCCCCTCCACGAATCCCTCCTTTCGTCCCTCCTCCAGTCCCGACTGCCTCGCCTCCTCAACCTTATCACTCGTCTTTTCCTTCACCGCTCTGCCTTCAAACACAGCATCGTCACCTGCTGATTTTCCCATCTCGTATGCCGCATTCCATAGTCGCCGCATCGCGGCCGTCTTGTTGCCCGCCTTGGTGTAAGTAGCCAAAGCGGCCTGGAACTCGTCCTCGGTGTTGCCTGTAGCTCGTTTTTTCGCGGACATGTTTTTTCGCGTTTTTTCGTCAGGGCCAAATCGGGCCAGAAGTCGCGCAGATACGAAGCAGAGATGAAGCTCGTCGGTCCTCGGGGTCGCTTTGTCGAATCACACTCTCATCACCATGTGGGGTAGTGTCTCTGGATGCGCTCTCGGGTGCCGCCAGGGAATCCAGCAATGTCGCGGTGCGTGGATGAAAGCAAAGGTGCAGATCTGCTCTAAACATGCGCAAACTGCTGACTAATCGGCCCGAATGCTGCCGGATCCATCTGTGCGCACTACCGCAGTATGGAGACAAATCAGTGAGTATTTGGCCTTGAATTCAGGGGCAACACATCGAGGCGCCGCGTTGCAAGGAAACAAAACAAAAAAAACGCCTGAAGAATATCACCCACGGTCCAAGCCCGAATCGAACGAGCGTCTCCTGCACGGCAGTTGAATTATTTCTCAACTTACGCAAGCGTGGGCCACTTCGCAATTGGACCTGACTAGGGTGCATATGAACCTGATCAGTTGGGAGATTTTGATGTGATGGCACGAGACAGCGACTGGTCGTGAAGTCCCACCCAGAAATGCATATCGCAAATCAACGTTGCTTCGCAGCTCAGAAAGAGATTGGCATCGGGATCTATCAAGAGCGGCGCGTCAGTCAACTAGTCTATTCCCACGAGGTTGATGAATGTACCTCGGAGAAGAACCTTCTCGCATCCAACCACGATCAGTACAGCGGGTGTTCCCTGCACGCACATTCCTCCATCTTGCGACTGTCCAGATGAGCGTGAATAGATGGTATCTTTCATTGGCAGAGAGAGACTGTGATTGCTGGTCGGATAATGCGGACCTGCGCAATTTCACCAGTCGAGAGTGACGCACACGAATCGCAGATCGATCTATACATACGCTCGCGAAGGAAAAAGAGAACTCGGCACGATTTGTATCACGGCCCAAGCCCGAACCGAACGGACGTATCTTGCCCGGAATGTACGCCTCTCCGCAATTGGACCTGGGTACTGTGGAGCGGACGCCGAACAAATGGCCAATTTACAGAGCGGACGGACAGACCTGCAGTGATAGTTCGAATTGAATCCGAGCCACGGTGCGTGGTCCTGGGGGCGGAACCGAGTGAGCTTGGCTGCTGCCGATCTCAAAAGCGAGTTGAAAGCCAGGTAATAAAAAAAAATTGTCGGATGTCACATCTCACGACCCAGCCCGAGTTGAACGGGCGTCTCCTGCATGCGTCCATCATGTCTGCCCTGCGGAATGTGAGGCATGCTCGAAGAGACGGTAGACGAGATGGTGATGGCAAGCAGGCCTCGGCTTGATCCGCAGACATTTTTGACGTGGGTGATGGATGACGCCGGGTTGATTTGTCCGAGCTGTCTTCATTTATTCGAGTCAAACAGTTCGAGCGTGGCACGTCGCCGACCTTGCCGCATGGCTCTAAACGCGCACGGGCGTCTTCTGCCCGACAATTGGCTCACAATTGGACCTTGACAGTGTGCAAAGAAGCTGATAAGATGATATGGTACAGTATCCGTTCTTCAAGTATTACCTCCTCGTTCGTTGGTACATGTTGTGGCTTTAACTTTCTCCTTCCTCAAGCCTCTCTTTTTGTTCTTCCTCCACAGCGGCGGCTCACTGCGTTCAGAGGATGGATAGCCACAGGGCCGCCTCGCTGGAGATAGCCGAGGACATAAGGCTAGCTCTGGCTAGCCGGCCGAGCCATGTGTGGCTAGCTCTGGCCAGCCGACCGTGCGTAGCTAGCCACAGCTACACATACCTGGCCATACCTCTGGGCGCGGGGCGATGGGGCTGGCGAGGTTGTGCAGTGGGACTACCCACAGTGCGGCTAGGTGAGCTGGCCATGACCTCGCAACAGCTAACCAGGGTGTGGCTATGTGACCCTGGCTAGGTAACTAGCCACAGCTAGACTATATATAGCCACGGCGTTCAACAGCTCGCCGAACCAGCGGCTATCAACCCGCTGAACGCAGTGGCTACGTCAGATTCGGGGCTGATCAGTTACAGATTACTGCCGAGCGACTGCAGCATCGCTGGCGCCATGTCTTGCTGCGCGGCCGTAAGGAACACCGACAGCGCTGTTTTTATGTTCTCGGGTCACTTCCCGAGCACCTCCGACGTCAGGACACGAACTGTGTATGGGCAGAGGAATTATCAGTGTGCTGCCTCGGCGATTGCAGCAGTGTCTGCCTCACTGGATTCGGATTCGTCGTCCCATTGATGTCGGCGACGGTCTTGACCGCCGCAGGGACCGTCGCAAAGTAGCTTTCCCTGAGCTGAGGGGCACCAGCTCTCGTCTTGTGGTGGGATGATGAGTCGAGAACTGGGTGGGGGGTGAGCTGGAGGGAACATATGTTCTGTTCCCCAGCCATCACGCTCGCCGCATACAAGTTCCAACCTCGGGGTGAGTGCTACGAGAATGGGGGCGAGCGTCTGGAGCACCTCCACCCCGATGTCCGGCTGCGTGGATGCGCGGGACGCCGCGAGCGCCGATTTTACGCTCGCAGGAAACGCCTCGGGTGCCCCCGCGGCGCCCCGAGGGTTCCGTTGAGCGCCTCCCTCGAAATCGCGCGGAGCTATAAAATGGCCAAGATCAGTGTGGAATCTCCGGGAATGCGAACATCGCCCCCTCAGTCGTGGTAGTGATAAATTCTGGGTGGTGGCGTGCCTGCGAGACAGCTAATTGCAGCGGGTCGGGTGAGACTGAGAAAATACACGATCGACGGCGCCGCAATGGCGGACCCGGCAAGGGAGGCGATGAGAGGGAGGATGGCGAGATTGAAGAACATTGTGATATCGTGAAATGCGTGCTGAAGAGAAAGAGACCAAGGCGAAAAGTGCTCAGCACAAAAAATAAGGAGTAGTTGAGAAAATCGACCGCTGGTCGATAGTTGAAGGTGATGGAAGATAGAACAAGTACAATGTTCTTCGATACTCCTGTATATATATGTAGGTGAGGACACGTATATTATCCCGTCTGGACGCGAAACCTCAAAAGAACCGTGGTTAATGTAGGTTCGATGCCGGTAATGCCTGATTCGTCATCCCAACAAGATCCATTGAATCCATTGATGTCACTCAGGTATGCATCTTGAACCCCAGGTTTCACGTCAGGAGCCCTAGAGTCAGCCAATTAACTCGCCGATAGGCGCCACGGAATGCCTGCAGGCGCCTAAATGGATTGCACAGGCTTTAAATGTCCTCATTTGGCGCATGTGACATTATCCAACCATCGGAATCTAACCCGCTTGTTACTCACAGCAATGTCGATGTCAGGCCTAATTGTTACAGCTAGAAAGAAGTGTATGCAGTTCTGCATCAGAGGACACCATTAATTGACATATGAAATCTGTGGCTCTGATAGTTGCCGCGCCATCTGCTGATTGGCTGACTTTGGCAAGAGCGCCCACCACACTCTGGCCAACTGGAGCATAAAGGCGCCTGGGTCAAGGAGTTGGGTGGTTATTATTATTTAGACGCTCATGATTGTCATCCAGGAACTTACCGCCCAAGGGAGACAAGACAGCGACAAGACGCAAGCAGGGCGTGGCAGCCAACGGAGCTCTGGTCGGGTCCCCTGGATAATATTAACCCCCATGGTTTCACCCAGAATTTTGCACCCTAGATCCGTACCGCCGGGGATTCGAGAAGCTCTGGGAAGTATTCCAGCAGATTCGCGTTCAGGGCGGCGTCTCCACCTTCAGGAAATTTCGTGATCAAAGAGAGGGTCTTGCTCGCATTCCTCACTACGGCTTCATTTTCATACCCAAATGGTCGGTGATTGAGGCTGGTCGACGATGTAATGTAGTCCCGCCAAATGCAATTTGGCGGGATGTGATGCCTCCACATAACCTCTACATATTCTACGATCCGACTGATGGCTCCATTAGTCAGTTCCAACTAAGATTACTCAGCCAGCAGGCGGTGCGATACCCTGCCGGATGAACGAGTCGTTGAGCAGCGCTCGCATGTCCTTGATGCTATCCTTGTTCGGTCCGAAGACCCCGTCTGCTTGGATGTCACCCCTGCACATATCGACTCCATCAGCACTGCCGACTTGAGGCGAGTAAACACAAAGCAAACCAATGGAAACTGTGAAACGAATCGACCTCGTAGCCCTCCGCCCACAGGTCACGCACATATGTGGTGTTCCACGGCGGAGGCGTCTTCCACCAGTGGTCCACCCACACGATTTCCTCGTCTTTCGGCAGGATGAGGTGGAGGGTGGTCGGGAGCGCCTGAGAAAACAATATCAATTACTTCGCGCAGCCTCGGAGGGAAAGCAGGGAGTCCAGGGGGGGAGTACTTACGATCTCGAGGAAACAGTCTGTCTGCAAGAACGTCCCTAGCACATCGAGGAAGTCGTCACGCAGGTGGCCGGGGAGGTACATCGTGTCCGCCGACCCGCCGAGGAGGTGTCCCGGGCCGTCGACGAGACCCTCGAGCCGCGTGCGCATGCGGGCTGGGACGCTATCGTACGCAGAAAGACATACTTCGAGGCCCATGTGCTTTTCCCTGTGGAGCTAGTGCATGAGTCCCTGAGGACGGATGACAAGAGCTCCCGAAACTTACCCCCACCTGTGAGGTCGTCAGCGGCGTGCTCGACGGGTGAATAGAACCGACGCACCACCAAAAGCCCGTGGCACCCCACGCGCCGGCTTCGCGCGCGTATTCGTGCGGCGTGCGCTCTGAGATTTTGGCTGCCGGCGGGTGCTTCTCCACGGCGACCGGGTTGGGAACGAATCGCTGTGCAAACGGACTGTGGTACCAAATGCTGTCTTGCGGAAACTGCATCAGGCGCGGGACGTTCAGCAGCGCGTCGAACGGTGCCCAGAGATAGCCTGCGTAGCACGGGTAGTCCTTGACCGCGGTGTAGAACATGTGATGCGCCTGTGAGTTTCGTGAATAAACATTACAAAATCAATGTGGATAAATGTGCGTACCATCCGCCCGCTCATCTTGAACCAGTCCGCATCAAAATCCTCGGCGGCCATGTACGAGTCCACCACGACGTCGTGCGAATGCAGAAACCCGCGGTCCTCACGACTTCCTGGCCCAATGTACAGGATCTACAAGAATCAGACCGTCAGTTAAACTTGAGGTTACATGGATGTTGGGGAGAGCTGTACGTTGGGAAAGTACGCCGAATAGACCTCGCGGTAGGCGTCTAAATTTATATCGTACCGTGGGTGGCTAAAAAACACCACGAGTAGGACATCGTCGAATGCGGTGAATGAGGGGCGCGTGGGATGTGGCCCGGCGTAGAGGGACGAGGGCGGGAGCGGGCGGCGCACGCATGTCGGCGCAACGCTGCCACTGACGTGCGTCAGGTTGTAGGGCGGGTGTTGGTGTGGCATAGGGGTATGCGCCACGAACGACGCCGGGGGAGAGCTCGGGAGTGGGCACAGGGGAGCCATTGCGAGCCCCACGAGGAGCGTTATAAGTACTAGCGCGAGGCGTATGA